CTCGGAAGGAAGGTTGGGCAATCCTACTTCCGTAGTGATACTGCCTCGGAAACCCAAGGAGGGGTCGCTATGAGTCAGGGCTGATTCGACAGCAAGTAACAACAACAACAACTACTACACCTGGAAAATATACTTATAAAAATGTACAGGGCACCCTGACATATGAAATAAACAAGTGAAAAATAAATATTATGCTATCTAATATTGTTTATCAATATCACTGAAAAAAATCACCTGATTCATAAAAAACTAAGGCAGAATGGCATCAACTTGTTCAGGGTCAGAGCTGAAGCAGAAACATTTTCAGGTGTTCTAATACTGGTTGAAATTTAGACCTTTGGTCTAAAGACCAGTCTGTGTAACTCAAAATGGCTACGTAGGTCACCAAGTAAGTATTCCCTGACCATCCCAAAGATGATTTTTGCCAGCATAATGAAGACACAACAACTCTATTAGCTCTCAGGATCTTCGTATTTATGTTTAATTTCCCCAGCTGACGTATCCAAGAAAATCTAAAAAACAAAAATATTTCTAATAATATTAACTCGATTTAATCTTGAATACAAGTTATTTATTTGGCCACAGTTTCTGGTGATCAACCAAGAAGCTTCCATCAGGACAGTCTTACCAAGCATCATAATTGCTTTTAAGACAGCAAACACAGCTCCCACTTCGATGCTGTTGTGAGCAGCAGCTAAGAGGTGTCGATCACAAGATGATCTTATTCCAGGGAAAGGCTTGCCTATGAGAACAACAGTGAACCTTTAGTAGTCTCATCACCATCAAAAATAATCTTTTGTAACAGTTTACAGTCTGAAGGGCCTGTCTTTGGAAGACTGATAGCACGACAGTGTTATCAATATGGATGCTGCTCTATTAATTGCCATTAGCTAGTTCTAACTGATGCCTCATGTATTCACTACAAACACTGAAGCATTGCTTACTTTTTTCTTTTTAATTATTTAAATTGATGTCTTTGCTCCTGAGAGAGATCAAAAAGATTCATAAGACTATTATATATTTGTACTGATTCTTACACATGTATGCGCATCTATAAAGAAATGGTCTTTAGGAATGGTCTTCATTAGCACCCTTAGAATTCTTACCTTATTCCTATTACCTCAGTAAAAGAATAAATGAAGCACTATTGCCCTAAACTGTTATGGTATGGTTCATAACCAACATATGCAGAATGTTAGAGGTTTATGCTGCCCATCAGCATGGCTTTGTCTAACAGCAGAGGTATTTTTATTGTTTAGTAACTCTTGATTCACATTTCTCAATATATCCTCATCTTACATAATCAGTGAAAGGTGCTGGCAGCCCTCTCTTTGGCATTATCTCAGGCCTTAATCACCTCTGAAGCAAGTCCATCAAAATCAGGACGGACAAGCCTATCTGGTCATTTTAGAACCTGTAACTCCAAAAGAAAGTACAATCAGAGATTTTTTAGCTGTCAGCTCACCTGTTGCTTGAGGTAATAAGCAGGCTTGAGGAGCTCGGAAGAGATGAAGCAGGAGTCGACATGTCATTCTCGCCCCAGGCTCCGCGTCCGCATCTCCACAAGCTAGGATAAAAGGATTTTGAAAACCAAGTTTTCTAACATATCCAAGTACAAGCCTTTAGGATTTTCAATTAAACTTATTTTGCTGGAATACTTTAAATGAATGTGTCTACAGTAAAAAGTAAGATACTGACTACAGTTTCCTGAGAAACCTGATTGCTTTCTTAAAATATAATAATTTTCAATTTTTTTCCATTGGGATCTACATTACTCATTATCAAACTGCTATGATAATTCCACAGGAGCTCTGGTAGCATAGTGGCTAAAGCACTTGACTGCTAACCAGAAGGCTGGCGGTTCAAATCCACCAGCCACTCCTCGGAAGGAAGGTTGGGCAATCCTACTTCCGTAGTGATACTGCCTCGGAAACCCAAGGAGGGGTCGCTATGAGTCGTGGCCGACTCGACGGCACATAACAACAACAACAACATGATAATTCCACAAGCTTCACCTTGATGTCATACCATTTCCCAATGTATGTACCCTTTAACATTACTTTCACTGTCTTTTAATGGTAGGTACCACCCTACCCAGGAACAATAAGTAACACATGATGTCCCAGATGCGTCTTACCTGCTGCTAGGAGAGAGGGAAGTGCAACGTGCTGCACGACGTCCTCCAGGGAAAAACACTGTCGTGCTATCAGAATAGCAATGAAAGTAGCTAATGAATCATGGAATGAAAGGTCACTCACCTTCAAGAAAAACATTAACATGTTTTAATACCTAACACCCTCTTAAGTCACATCTAAGATTAATATCTAAAAGAATGTAGCCAATACCAATAAGATCTCAAATTCCAAAATGAACCAAGAGTGAAATGATAAATTTCCATTATTATCCTCTAGTACTACTATGAGTCGGGGCCGACTCGACGGCACATAACAACAACAACAACAACAAAAGTTCTACTTTTGATAAGAGTCCCTGGGTGGTGCAAATGGTTAAGTGCCTACTAGTCAAAAGATTAGAAGCTCTAGTGGCATAGTGCCTAAGGCACTTGACTGCTAACCAGAAGGCAGGCAGTTCAAACCCACCAACCACTCCTCGGAAGGAAGGTTGGGCAATCTACTTCCGTAGTGATACTGCCTCAGAAACCCAAGGAGGGGTCGCTATGAGTTGGGTCTGACTCGATGCCAAATAACAACACCAACAACAGTCAAAATGTTGGTGGTTCAAAACCACTCAGAGGTGTCTCAGAAGACAGGACTGGTAAAGTGCTTCCAAAAGGTCACAGCCTTGAAAACCCTATGGAGCATCTGCTCTGCACACATGGAGTTTCCATGAATTGGAATCCATTGAACAGCAACTAACAACAACAACAACAGGCCTACTTCTATTTCATAAGACAAAGAACAAGGTTACCCTCTGTATTCCAATCCTGTAAAGACACTCTGTTTTGTTGTGTGCACATTTAATTGAAAGAAAAAGCAAAAAAAAAAAAAAAAAAAAAGGTAAGAATCCAGAAATCCCTAAAAGATGTTGCATAATTAATAGTTTTTAGCAGAATGCATTAAATATGTCATTTAAGGGTAAGAACATTAGGAAGCAAGGGAAAGCAAAGGACTTCCTCTAGTTGAACAACAAACCTCTCTGATCCCTGATGTTCTGGAATTTCTATTCATGATAACTTATAATTATAATATTATTAAATCAGTTTTCATGACAATTCTAAAGTTAACTGCTAAAATTTAAAAAAAAATAATAAAATAAAGACAAAAAGAGAGAGGAGAAAAATCGACTTAGTCACTTTGAAGTCTCACCTTTACAGATCTCATGACACTTTGGCAGAAAATAATAATAACAGTAGTCATAACATCAGCCTCCATACTGAGCTGTACTATATATTAGGCACTGTGGTTAGCAATTTACAAAAATCATATTTAATAACACAACACTGTGAGGTTCATACTATTATTAATTCTACTCTTATAGATGAAGGAATAAAGCAGAAGGTTAGTGTAACCAAAAAACCACCAAGAGGTTAAGGAATTATGCAAATAAATTTAAAAAATAAAAATTTAAGTCTTTTCTGTCTAGAAAAACAGACCACAATTATGGGATTGATGGATGATGGATAGGTAGAAAGACAGACAACAGACAGATACCTACACACATATACACACAATCTTAACAGGTACCCAGAAAATGGATATAGGATTGTCCACCCAGTCTTGGGATAGCTGAATTAGGGAGCAGATCTTCAATTGGGAGTGGTTACAAAAAATGCATAAAGTTCTTCTGTAAATAAGATATATTAACTATAGGATATGGTTTACTCCAAGATTTGATAGCAGCAGAAACAGATACGTAGAGTAAGAATCAAAACAGACTTCGAAGAAATTCTCACGTGATGAATACAATGTGACATTGGAGGAAATCAGTGATAATGTATGAATATCACCTCATTGCCTTTCAGATACAATCACTAAGAAAGTTTGGACTGAATCCAGGCCCAGATATTCTTATGCAGCACGACAAACTTGTATTCTTGAAGTGTACCCTGCACTTAAAAAAAAGGGGGGGGTTCTCTTCATAATAGAAGCTGCTATAGTTAAATTATATCCATGTCATGAGGAACCCAAGATATTTAGTAAAAACCAAGACCAAACAGCTCTGATGTGACAATCTATTAGTATAAAATCCCAGCTAAACTGAGATTTCAATAAACAAGGAACCTCTCGGCATTTCTGCTATAGTTTAAAGTATTCATTTTATTCATTTAGGTTTTTTCCCCCCCATTTGTGTAGCCCTTGGCAAATAAACTATGATTTACTGCTTTCGGACAGAGAAAGAAAAAAACAGAATATTTCAGTTAAAGGCTGAGCTAATTTAAAACAAACAAAAACCACAAAATTACCAACTAAATATTTAAATGCATTTTTTAAATGAAATAAAAACTTACATCTACAGTGCAGAGAACATCGTTAAATCCCCACACATGATTTGAGGAACAACAAAGAGCCTTCAGAACTCCCAGCCATTCAGAACTAAGAACAGTGCAGCAAGCTGTCAGCTCGGAGGAGAAATTGGCTATGTCATTAATCCTAGAAAACAAAAAGGAAACAGACGTAACCTTATACAAAAGAGAAACACTGACATGCAATATACTTAATGAGCGCAAATATATTTCCCTATCATTGAAAAAGTTACTCATTTTCTTAGATTCAAGGATACTATAAATACCCACTTGTTAAATTACCTAGGAGAATTTGAGGTATGAGGTAGAAGTAAATGACTTCAAATTTCTTCTAATATTTAATGTTATGCAGTAACAAACAATAATTAGTATAGATGTGAATTAGCATATTTTTATTTCCTTAAACAAACCTGATCTATAGATTCAAATTTAGCCAACACTTTAAGAGTACTCAATTAAAATTAAAGACGGGCAACAGGTGTGTAGGGAGATAGCTCAGCAGGTAGGAATGCATAGGAAAGAAGGTCAAAGGGAAAAGGTAACCACAGGGAGGAAGTGGGAAGAGAGCTGTTTAATGTCATGAAACAAAATGTGTATGAACTCTTGTATCGAAAATGAATTTGCTATGTAAACTTTCACGTAAATCACAATTAAATAAAAAAATTAAAGACACTATGTAACTTTGTTGTTGTTGTTCTGTGCCAGTGAGTTGGCCCTGACTCACAGCGACCCCTCCTTGGGTTTCCAAGGCAGTATCACTACAGAAGTAGATTGCCCCATCTTCTTTCCGAGGAGTGGCTGCTGGGATTGAACCACCAGCCTTCTGGTTAGCAGTCAAGCCCCTTAGGCACTCTGCTACCAGAGTTCCCACTATGTAACTCAGATAAGTCCAAATATGGTTTTAGTAAATATAGGTATTTTATTTATAGTTCTGTTATATGTTTTGTAACTGTATCATATAACTCACAGATCATATCCAAAGCATCTCATGACAAAGCAATAGGCCAGTGTGCTATCTCAGATTATAGGATTGAACAGAGATGTACTCAGGAATAAAGGAAGATGGAAAGAGAAGCAAATGGCAGTCAACTTCAGTCCCGGTAATTACTAAAGATCTTAATTTCAATGTAGGCACCAATACAACTACTCTTTGATTAATCATGAATTCCAAACTAACTTGTCTTACCTTCCAGCATCCTGATGGCCCATGCATACATTCATAAGTGTATTGCACACAAAGCTGTAGCGATTGGCCGCATTGTCACTAAGGATCTTGCCGAGCATTGAATAGTTGATGCTACGTGCCGATGGATTCTCAATGAAGTCCATCATGAAGTCAGGATCCCATCGCAAGTTAGAGTTTGCAGGCATCACATTATTATATATGGTTTGCTTTACTTTTGAACAGGCACTACTGAGGTTATAAGAACAAGAATTAAAAAAAAAAAAAAAAAAA